CCGCCCACCTTCGCCGCAGGTCCGCCGGTCGCCCCGCCCAGCCGAGGGTGGGTCCGAACTCCAGTCCGCGCTCTCGGCGGATGACAACCTGTTTGCACTTCTATTTTCGTTTAAAAGCAGACACAAAACTAGGGCTCTGCGGCCGCGCACCGACAGCGTCTGGGTGATGTCCACTCCAAATCCAGGAACGCCAGAGTCAGGGCTGGTGTCTGAGGACCTTCAAATCCTCCGGAGGAGGGAGCGGCCGGTGCCTGCGCAGGGCGGCTCTCGGCGCCTGGACGCGAGCTGGGCTCTTTTCTTTTTCTTTCTTTCTTTCTTTCTTTTTTTTTTTTTTTTAAGAGGAGAAGGGGGGAGAGAGAGAGAGAATTTTTTAATATTTATTTTTTAGTTTTCGGCGGACACATCTTTGTCGAACCCGGGCCGCACACATGCCAGGCCAGAGACCCTCGGAGCGCTGGTGGCCGAGGCGCGCCGGCGGCGCCAGGGGCGCAGCCTGCCAGGTCTGTCCAGCCGACCCAGTAGCGCGGCCTGTCCGCTCCTCCCAGGCGGAGAATTGACTCAGTTTACTCCCCCGGGCGCCACACTACTGCTATGCTGGGAGTCCTAGGAGTTGGAGAATGTTCTGGGCGGAGCAGAGAAGCCGGGCTGCCGAGTGGAAGCTTTGCTAGGCAAGCAGTTCGAGTAAACAGAAGAAAGGGACCCGATTTCCCAGGCTCCAGCGATTTCTTGTGATTCCCTTTTTCATCTTAAATTGAAACTCAATTTCCTGCCCAACGGTGTGTGCTTTTTCTTGAGGGACTGGTAGATCCTGGATTGAGCTTTTCCTTAGAATCGCCTATTGTTTACCAGCTCCCTCAGGGAACGAGGCCAATTGCTCCTTCGGAGTCCTTCCATTCTGTCACTACTGAAAGAGGACATGCGAATTAGTCCCACCTTCTGCCCTTGCTCCCCTCATTCCTTTTCTGCAGAGAGCAGCTGGGATGAGCTTTCTAAAGAGTACACCTACCTATGTTGCTCCATACTTAAATTCCCCTCACCTGCTCCTCCTTCTGAGGCTGAGTGCACCCCTGACTCATCTCCTGAAAAGGGATAAGCAGTGTTGGTACCAGCTGACACTCCCCAGGCAAGACAACTCTTCCACACCTTCCTGCAACAACTGGCCCAATCCTCTTGATCTATGAGGTGTCATTTCCTCCGGAAGGTCTTTACAGACCACATCACCCACTGTGCCTTTGCTTGAGATCAGGTGAGCCCCATCTGTGCTTCCAGAGCACCTTTGCCTAATTGTTAGTCACCTGACTTGTTTCTAAGTTTCCTTGGGGAACTTTCTTATCCCAAGCACTTGCCTTGTTTACCAGTGTCTCCTCTGGGACATTGGAAAAACCATCTGTCCACATTTTATTATATGGAAAGAAAATTGTTTGCCATCAGAAGTCCAGCTCTAAAATTTCTCCTGAATGGTGCCAGTTTCTATGCACATGACTACCTCATGATCCAAGATGGTTACTGGTTCTCCAACTACTGTGTCCACATCTCAGGTAGATATTAGGGAAAACAGAAGAGGACTAAAAGGTACCCCCTTCTGCTTAAGGAGACCTCCAATGCACACAATGCATCCACGTTCAGCTTACCGATGAAACTTAAATACATTAGTAGGCTAGCTACAAGAGAGGTTGGGAGATGTTGTCTCTATTCCCTGTGGCACTGTGCTCAGCTAGAGGCCATGGTTCTGCTCTTGTTCATGAAGGGAGGATGGATTTGGGAGAACGTGTAATCTTTACCACACCTTCAAAGCAGCCAAAAGGAATGCCAGATGACTACTTCAGTATCCCTCTTTGACTACCAAGTGTTGAATGTATTTCTTGCCATCCTTTCAATTCTAGAGATAAAGATGATGTACAACAAAAATACTTCCATTTAATACAATGGAATATCTTTTAACAATTGAAAAATGCATTTTTTTTCTGTGTCCAGTTCCAAGCTCAGCAGCTCTGAGTGATGGTCACTCATTATCTATCAACTCTCATATCTCATGCGCCAAGCTAATAAGATATCCATCACTAGTTGGTCCTATATAAAACAGTAGAGGACAAGGGCCAAATAGCAAAGGCAATTATTTTATATCGATATGCATAATACACAACAAAGAAAATGTAAGTAGAGGTTACAGTCCTTGATTTGCAACTGGTCTTAAGGCTATTGATTGGACTCTATGACTCCTAATGCACATTACAGAACCTCCCTTTCCCTTTATCAGACATCTCAGGTAGCTAGGAGCAGCCCTCATTCCTGAGGGGTCGGAGTTTTTTATTATGATTTGCTGTTGGACATTCCAGGAGCAAGATGCATGGCCGTGACTGGCTTTTATCCATTCACCTCCTTTTGCCCATTATAAAGAGCAACCCTACTTCCCCCTGAAGTCACAGCTACCCCCACCATCATAGCCACCCGATCGTCAAGCCAACACTTGCAATTCACCCCCCTCTCCCCCCACCCGAGAGGAAAAGTCTGAAATAGCCAGCTTCTCAATTTTCATTTCAATGGAAATTATGCTCAAATCCCCAAAGTGGAAGAATTCCTTCTTGTTACCAACACCTTCAAACTAGCACAGCCCAGAGGAGGAGAAACAGAAACAAGAAATTTGCAAGTAGGTCATTGGGTGTGTTAGTGACAGGCACGCTCTCTTGGTTCCTCAGTCCCTGTCTGTGTGTCTATGTGTTCTATGTCAGCTTCCAGCTCAGAGAGTCCACACTATAGGATGGTGACACTCCCTTTCTAGGCAGTGTCCACCAGGCACTGTGGCTGAGGCTACAACTGATTATTCCCTCAGCTGCTACTGAGGGACAGAAATTAGCCCACCATGGTTTTTCTTTTGGTTTAAAACAGAAGCAATACTGTGTTTTGATGAATAAGGCATTCCTTGGGAAAGTGTGAGGATGCTGGCATAGGCATTGGTGGGTAAAGAAAGTCAATCCAAGTTCAAAAACCCTGTATTATAGTGGGGGCGAATTGCTGATATCTGCCAATAAAAGATGTCCACATAACCTCCCTCCAAGTGGGCCATCTAGGACCACACTTAACATTGGCACCTTTCAGAAGACTCAAAACCTGCTAGTGAGGAGCTGGGGTTGTGGCTCAGCAGTACAGCACTTGCCTAGCATGTGCAAGGCCCTGAGTTTGATCCTCAGCACCACATAAAAATAAATAAAGGTATTGTGACCAACTACAACTAAAAAATAAATATTTAAAAAATATTAAAAACAAAACTGGCTGGTGATGCTGGTGAGAAGCAGGTCAGTGTTGGGAGGGGAAATGGGTTGTCAAGAACATGGATGAAGTCAGTCCCTGTCTGTGTGTCTACAAGCCCATTAGATGAGCAGGGGCCTAGCTAGGAATAGAAAGTGATTTAAATCATAGAGCAGGTCACTCTGTCTTCCTGAATGTTGAAAAATGTCCAGCATAGCTGGGTGTTTTGGTGAACCTGATTCGGAAGTTTGATGGATCACAGTAACATCCATCTCGAGATGGGCAGCTCCGACTACCTGATCATTAATAACTTCCCTGATCAGACTTTCAGTCTCTTCTATAATCCGGTAATAAGCCAAACCTTTTTCTCAAAAATAGTTATTTGAGAAAGAAGGTATGTATTTGCTTCAAATGTTGTAGTGGGCTTGCCATAGCCCCCTCCAACTCTTTCTTTTGCCATGACACTTCGAGCACCATTAGGCCGCATTGAAACCAGAAAAACTTGACTCGCTGTTTTCTGCCAGTGAGTAGCGTGTGCACAAGCTTCAGGCCTTTGCAGCAGAGAGATGCATCCGCTCTTAGTGGTAGGCCCCACCAGCTCACCATCAAGTGACTCCTTCTCTCAAGGTTCTTGTCTTACCAATTCAAAAAGTGAAATACACAGACCAGAATGAGCATAAGAGGAGGATTTATCAGAAGTAGAAACAGGAACAGAGCTCTTACAGACAAGAGGGAACTTGACACCAGAATTTCCCCATCTGGGTGTGCTAGTCTAGGGCTTTATTAGCACTTGGGTCACTGCTTTTGGTGCAAACTTGTGCTGATTAGGGTTTGGCAAAGTAATAATGCCGTTAGCCATGAGTCCCATTCAGTTTATGTCCATTTTCTCCTTCCTTCAAGAAGCAGGAAGCTGGAGGGCGAAGTCATTGAATTCATTGAATTGCACATGCTGGTGGGGGGGTATTGTCTGGTGCTGCATGGAGTGCACTTCTACGAGGGCATCCCATTGTGTACGGGCCAGGCTGCTATGGGGCAATGGGTCAGCTTACTTGGCTCACCTCAGCGCTGGCCCAGAGCACCTTAGATCTGCCGCACCTCACCTTCATGGCTGGCTGTGCTGCCACTCTGCCACCTCACTGCTCCCCTGCTGCTTTTCTGCAGAGAGCTGGCTGCACGGCTTGGTGGCTGGGGAGCCGTGACACCTTGAGTCATAAATGACCAAACAGATGGCATTGCTGCTGAACCAGAAGGAAAGTCTCCTCAATCTCTGGGCCCCGTCTCAACATCAGCACCCTTTTTATTCATCCTGTAAAGGGACACAGAAGCGCACCCTATGTGACAAACGTTGCTTCCACATTGAGGCCTGCA